ATGACATGGAACGACTTGAAACTGCACAACTCAATTCTGTGTAAAGAGCCTAACGCATTGCTCATGACTCTTATCTACTCATTGATGACATGGAACGACTTGAAACTGCACAACTCAATTCTGTGTAAAGAGCCTAACGCATTGCTCATGACTCTTCTCCACTCATTGATGACATGGAACGACTTGAAAGTGCACAACTCAATTCTGTGTAAAGAGCCTAACGCATTGCTCATGACTCTTCTCCACTCATTGATGACATGGAACGAGCCCCCCCCCCCCAGTGGCACATCGGTATGTCTGCGGACTTACAACGCTAGAAATCGGGTTTCGATACCCGTGATGGGCATAGCACAGATAGTCCACTGTGTAGCTTTGTGCTTAATTACAAACAACGACATGGAACGACTTGAAATTGACACAACTCGATTCTGTGTATTATATAAACGTTGATGCCTGTCTATCGACCTGCTTGTTTGTGTATACTTATTAAATAATTTATGACGTAATTCTAGCCTCGAACAATACCAGATTTTTATTACAATAACTGAAATACAGAACGTTTTAATTTTGTGCACGAATTTTTGATGATCACGTGAATTACTTCCCTTATGATAGGTAATGCAACCACTGTATTTTTTCTTCTATCTGTCTGTCTGTGTTTTAATAAAGTTTTTTTAAGTTATCTCGCGCGTCTTTTTTTTTCTTCTGGAAAGATACATACACGTCATTGTAAAGTTTTGCTATAACTTTTAAATGCGGTAATGGAAAATAAATAAATATATATATATGTGTTTGTGTGTAAATGTTTAAATGAATCAATAAAAGAAACTTTAGAGATCAGTCGAAGTTTCCATGGTAATTAACATTCGTATTCTCTTTGCCTTCACGAGAGGTCGCTTTTTTTAGCTAATCAGTATCTTTTTCTTTTTTTTTTTTTTGAAGTTGAAATTGATTTAGTCGTGTTAAACTGGTTACAGAAGTGTGCCGAATTACTAACGCTTTATTCCCATCTTTCTATATATGACGTTCTTATGCTAATTAGATCGTCTTACATTGGTATACAAGAGGTCAAAAACTAGAAGTTTTACCTGTTTGGTTTTGTTGCAACAGGTCTGGTTCCAGAATCGTAGGTCGAAGGAAAGGAGAATGAAGCAACTGAGCACTCTCGGAGCTCGCCGTCACTTCTTCAGAAATCCTCGGCGGGCCATGCGGCAGCTACGACCAGGAATGTCTCCCGACGGACTTGACGATAGTCCCGATATGGTCCTAGGGCCCAACGCTGGCTACAGTTATTTTTCCGGTACGTATTGATCTCTAGCATAGACATCTTTATTTGTCTTATTAAGCCACTGAAGAGTCTGGTTATGTAGAATCAATTAGTAAAAGATTTTCATTGAAGTTTGAATGGATGACGAATCCAAAATTATTATATAAATATACTTGTAATAGATAGTTCTAGAAGTATGCATGTAATGGTTAGTTCTAGAAATATACTTGTAATGGTTAGTTCTAGCAATATTCTTGTAATGGTTAGTTCTAGAAATATACTTGTAATGGT